GTGGGGTCATAGATGCTAGGGACGGGTGCCATGAGCATAGCCGTCTTAAGTGCTTGGAATGACCGGCGTGCGTCGTCATCGAATACGAATGGCACCTTTGGCGACTGTAACCTCGTCATAGGTGCAGCAATCCTGGAGTATCCGGTGATGAATCGCTGATAGTAGCCCGCCAACCCCATGAATGAACGAACGTCCGTGGTGTTGGTGGGCTCGGGCCATAGTCGTAGGGCCTCGATCTTGTCCACAAGCGGACGGATGCCTTGCGGCATCACATAGTGTCCCAAGTACTTCAGCTCCTGCTGTGCGAACTCGCACTTGCGGTTTGCTTTGTACTTAGCTTGTCGCAGCCGCTCCAAATTGGTGCGCAGGTGTTCCACATGCTCGTCCAAACTCCGACTATACATCAAGATGTCGTCTAGGTAGATGAGTACAAACCGATCCAGCATGTGTCGGAACTCCGTTGTCATAGCCGCTTGGAAAGTGGCTGGGGCATTCGTAAGGCCAAACGGCATGACCAGCGATTCGAAATGCCCATACCGTGTCTTGAACACGGTCTTGTACCGATCCTCCTTGCGAATCTCGAGTTGGTGGTACCCTGACTTAAGATCCAGCTTAGAGAAGAACTGGGCGCCGCCCAATCGCTCGAGAAGGTCGTCGATGCGTGGGAGAGGGCCGGCGTTCCTGATCGTCTGCGCGTTGAGCTTGCGATAGTCGATGCTCAACCGCAGGTCCTTGTTCTTCTTCCGGGCGAAGAGAACAGGAGCACCGTATGGCGATGAGCTAGGCCGAATCCAGCCTTTCTCCAGAAGGTCGTCGAGTTGTGCCCGAAGCACACTTAACTCTTCCTCGCTCATTCGGTAGATGCAACCGCGCGGAGGTACGGCCCCGTCCTCGAGGATGATCTCGTGGCGGATGGGTCGATCCGGTACTACTCCGTGCGGGCCTTCGAACACGTCGCTGTAGGCGTCGAGAAGCTCGGTGATGAGTCCATCGATGAAGCGTCATGGGGCGGCAGGGCGTGGAGAAAACACACCCCCATCTCCTCGATGTCGTCTCTGATGATGGAAGCTCGCATTCTTGCTGCGGATACCACGTGGCAGCTGATCGAAGGATGAGGAAGAGGCACCGTGCATGGAACTAGTACTCCGTTCCGATCATAAATGTGAACGGTGCGGTGGAAGAAGTTCACCGGGTGATCCTCGCTTCGCAGCCATGACATGCCCAAGATCATGTCGAATTTGGTGTCCAGAATGTCAAAGGACACCGCATCACTTGCGTGAGGGGCAAAGTACACGGGGACGGCATCAATGCACCGGTCGATTGACTTGTGCGTATGACCGTCTGCCAACGTTACTTGCGTAGGCTGGGACTTCCTCCGGACAGGTGGGCCAAGGTCGGCGTGTACCATGAAGTCCTGGCTGATGTAGTTGCGAGATGCTCCGCAATCGATCAAGGCACTGCAGGTTGCCTCTCCGATCTGAATGCGTACGTATAGCAATGGTGCGTCGATGTCGTCGTACCGTTGCGTCTTGAACTCGCGGTCGATCTTCGCGATGTAAGCGTGAAGGTCGACAACCTCTACTCCGGCGTCCATCAACGGAGCTGGTACTGCAGTGTGCAAGTAGTCCCGCAATTGTGCCATGAGCACGTTGCAATGCGGTTTCGACAATCGTCCGGTCGAGGGAACGGGCATCCACTGGAAGTCCGTGAACGTCAATGGGTCGAGCTCCTCAAGTCTTGACCATGACGTCGAATCCCTGGCGATAGATTGCGGCAAAGCTGCCGAATCGGTTGCCGATGGTGATGAAACCGTAGATGCGGTGGATTGTTGCACGTGGAGCGGTTGGTCCAGCGGTGGAACCAAGTTGACAACATAGTCCTCGTAAGTGTAACGAGAACTTTCGACATTCGCGTTCTCCCCAGATGTGCAGGAGGCCGCTAGCAAGGCGGCCGAATCTGGCGGAGTAGAAGGTGGAGTCGCCTCACCTTCCGCGGAGCTTAGTTTCCCGAGCTGAGGCGGGGTCACACATCCTCCTTGCCCTGATCTTGGCACAGGGAGGTCTTGTGCTTGGTGCTGTTGCACCAATAGCAGCTGCCATAGCGGCCACGGACCTTGTACTGCGCCTCGGTCAAGCCAAACTTGACCCATGGAACTTGTACTGGCTGTCCATTTTCGGCCTGCGATGCGGATTTCGCCTTCTCATTGTTGCGGGACTTGTTGTTGCTTCGCGGCTGGACAGCAGCCACCTGATCTCCGTCACTTGATGCTGGAGTGGCTGCTAGGTTATCTCCACTGTCCTGCTGGACTGCAGAGAAGTGCTGCTGTCGCGGACCAGTTCGTACCTTCTCCACATAGGTCGGCTGCCATGTTGATCTCTCGTGTGCAGCCGACCTGTTGGTCTTGATGATCTCTCTCGCCTTGTCGATAATCTCGACAAAAGTGGAGTACTGCTGGCGATCACCAAGAGTCTGGCTCAATGCAGCGCAGGATCTGTTGTAGAACTCACGTCTGAGATGAGTGAAAGGCAGGTCCAGATTGGGCACTGCTGCAATCTTCTGCCACTCCGTGAGCCACTCCCGTGTTGCCCTGTGACATGGTGAACAGACGGTTGATGGCGAGTGCCGGCGCGTCGTCGACGATGAAGCGCTTCTTCCACAGCCGTGTCAGTTCCTCCCATGTGATTTTGTCCTTCAAGTCTGGTAAGGCGACGCCGTGGGAGGTTGCCAGGTGGCTCAACCAGGTCTGGCATCCGCCCTTTGAGTTCAGGAACAGGGCGCCGATGTACGCATGCTTGGCTACGGGCAGAATCCTGAGTTGCGTTGTGAATGCTTCCCACCAGAGGACCGGATCCTGCTGCGTGTAGTCGTCGAACCTCTCGAGATTGAAAGTTGGCATCTTATACATCTTCGGATTGCCATCCGCGTTTGTCGTCTGCAGCTGCTGGACCTCGGTCTTCAATGTATGCAGCTGACTGCTGGTGGTGGTGGTCGGCGCAGCGAAGGTGCTGATGTCGCCGAGCATTGCCACTACGTGGTCAACGCGGTCCTCCAGTTGGCGGCTAGAGGGTGCACTGCTGGAAGCCCCAGAAGCTGGTCCTGGTACAGCCTGTTCCAGGTCCAGCAATCGGGCATTGAGTGCCCGAGTTGCATCCTCGTGGCTCTGCACCATGCGGCGGAGCTTTGCCAACTCCTGATGCTATTGCATCAGGTCCTGGTACTGTCTCTCCAACTCTGACCGTTGGTAGTTGCAAGCGTACAACAACCTTGTCACGAGTTTGGAGAGGAACTCCTTGTGCTTCTCTTCCGGTGTTGCCTCGTCGCCGTTCGGTTCAAAATGCCAGAACTTGAGTCTGTCGATGCTGTTGGCTTCATGCGGCTGCAGCAGATCTTGGGCTTCCTTGCGGCGAGCCTGGGCATCTGCGTCTGCATCGGCCTGTAGCCGCAGCTGCTCTGCTGCTGCTGCCTCTTCANATCGGCCTGTAGCCGCAGCTGCTCTGCTGCTGCTGCCTCTTCAGCCTGTACGCGGGCAGCCTCGGCTGCCAGCTGGCGTTGTTCCTCAGCCTTGATCTGAGCCTGGAACCGCTGCTTGTAGGCGGCAAGGGACTCGTTGGGCAGTTGCCCTGGCAGGCCCGTCATGTTGCTGASGTGGCACTGCTGCTTACGTGGCACTGTTGATGTGGCACTGTTGACGTGGCACTGTGTCTGATGTCACTGCTGACATGGCACTGAGTCTGACGTGGCACTGCTGACGTGGCACTGCTGACATGGCACTGCTGATCTGGCACTGTGACGTGGCACTGCTGACGTGGCACTGTGACCTTGCACTGTGACGGGGCACTGCTGACGTGGCACTGTACCGAACCGGGATGCATGCAAGGGGTGGGTGGGAGGGAAAAACGCAGGTAGGTAACCAACCCAACAATACTTTCCTCCGGCCCTAATCAACAGATAAAATAAAATAAAAAATAAAAGAGAACTACTTCCTTTTTTTTTTTTTTTGTATATCTGTCGATCTATGATGAGTAGGATATGTCAGAAGAGTATTATGAACGAGATCTAGGCTAGGTTCCGCAAAGTTTCGACTTTTACAAACTGCAATCTTAAAAAAAAAATTTGCGAAATGGAGTAAAGATACAATTTTCAGAAAAGAACGAAATCCAGTTTCTGAGAATATAGCAACCTCCGAATATGCCTAACGCAATATTGGTAGGCTTCGCAAGATTCGGTTTTAAAGAAAAAAATTCCGAGATAGAATGGAAATGCGATTTTCAGAAAAGAATAATTTCAGTTTCTGAGAATATGACCACTTCTATCGTTATCCCAATTGAAACGGTTTTCACCTTTTAGCAGTAGTGGATGCAGTACCCAGGGTTCGATCCCTAGACCTCACCCTACCCATGTACAGTATCTGTGTAGACTCCGAGAATCGAACCTGTGACCTGTGTATTCGTAGACAGTTGGTAGGCCTGTCGTAGGTCCATAGGCAGCAAGGGTTCGATCTGTAGGTCTATAGCGTAGGAGTCTTAGTGAGTTCCGGAAGCTTAGCTGTAGACCTTCTAGAAGGTAGGCAAGTGGGCAAGTGGTCAAGTGGTG